CTGCAACAGGAGTGGAACAGGGCCAGGAAAATTCTGGACATACCCTGTTCACCCTCTCCCTCGGCATCCTCTCTGTCACAGACAGGATGCTGGTCTACATGGACCTATGGTCAGACTCAGTAAATGGCAGTTCTTGTGTTCTCGTGAGACTGAGTAGAAGTGTTTTAGTATGTGCTGATGATTAGTGGAGCCAGCTTCCCTGATGCTCTGCTAGCTAAATGAGTTTAAGATGTACATTCATAGTTTCTGTCTGCTCATCTCCCTTGCATACAAAAGAATGTTCCTTAATCTGTTAATTCCCATTATTTCAAGCCATGATTTGCAACATTCAAATGTCTGGTCAGGTTCTTGTGAGTGATGCTCTTTTCTTCATAGTTTTTATTTTGTTTCAACAGACCAAACACGTTCTAAGGTCCTTGCATATCGTTAATAAGGATAAAATAGGACCTCTTAGGAATTTAAATAAAAATGTGGGTCTGTTAAGACAAATATATTTATCAAAATCCTTCTATGCTAATGCTCATTCGTAGCTTTTACAGGTGTCCTCATTGGAGACTTAGCTACACTAACAGTGTACTAAATTGAACAAGAACAGTCTAAGATTTGCTGTCATTGCTATTTGATGTATTTATAAGACAGTCAAGTGGAAGCAACTTCATATTCTGCTCATGTGAGCATACACTGTTGATGACTTACTTTGAGTTGACTTGGAATTTGAATATTGCAGTTAGTAGCACAGGAAAACTTCCAAATAAAATATAATCTCCTTTCTCTTCTGAACAGAACTCAGAATTTTTTAAACTTAATTAGATTTTTTTCCATAGGCTTTTAAAGGAAAATACAAATGAGATGCAAGGGGTTGGTGAGGTTGTAGCTGGTCACATGGCTTCCAGGCATAATAATCCAGCCCCTGTTGGATCTTCTTAACTGAGCGGTGCTTCCACAACAGCTCTATTAGTATCTTAATAACCTGCCTGTGGCTATCCTGTTACTGGGACACCTGAGGTGGAAAGTGGCCCCAGCAATAAACAAGTGCTTGTATACCAAAAGGAAGCCTTCAGTTAGAGGTATAAACAAGCAGAGTGTGTGTCAGCAAAAGACCCAGGATTGCACAATGCTTTGGCAGGGAGCAGCTGTCTTGTGATGATTGGTGCCTGAGGTTGGAACTTATAAAGACAAGGGCTCATATGCCAAAAGCACAGTTAAAGATCTTATCTTGCATTGCTTAATTTCAACTCAATAATGCTTGCACATACTTGTTTTTCTACTTTGTCTGTTGGAGAAAACTGACTATATTCCCAAACAGCCACCTTTTGTGTTGCTTAAAAAAACTAAGGAGTGGGGTAGGAGCAAGCACACTAGCTTCACACTCCCTCTGGTACATGTGTAACTCTCATTTGCAAGAAAAGTTGTTATCATGTACCAAAGGGAGATAGATTTTCTTTCAGGCACTGGAAGGATGACCTAGGTTGGGGTTTCCCAACTTCTGCAGGGGCTGCATACCATGCTGCTGGTGTGCTGCATTCCTGGGTTCCCTTGAATCCCCAGCTGTGAACTCCCTCAGCCCTGGGGGGTGCCTTGCTCTCTGGGGTAGGAAGCAGAAGCAGGAGGAAGATCTCAGAGGCTCTAGCAGCAGCCAGAGTGCCATGTGGGAATAATGCCCTGACTAGGGCCTGCATTTAAACCCCTTGGGGACCAGATGGAAGCTATCAGTTAGCCCTGACTTAGATGGAGAGGGGGATACAAAATTGAATGCTGAAGCATATAAGGAAAAAAGAGGACAGTAGCAGGAATAGTTGCCACTTATCTCCATGACTATGTTAGATGAAGACTCTCTTTCCAGCCCTTGTTGTTCTGATTAGTTTTAAGGGAGGGGAGCAAATTTATACTCTTTATTATAGCCCTGATTATACCAAGTGTTGAATACTGTGCTGTGCACAAATAAACTAAATGAGCCATAACACTATTAATTATTGATAACAATGGGGCAGGGCTGCACTTGAGCTTTCATTACTTATTACATAATACGCACATGATTGATGTAAATGTCTCATGCCCCTTTTGGTTCTGTACTACACAGAAAGCTAGAGGAGACTGCGGAGTGGGGGAAGGAGTGCTTATCTCATCTTCTTATTTAAAGGGAGATCCCACTGGGATCATTAAAAGTAGCCAGCATGCTACTGGGCATGGGGACAAAATAACTTTGGGGATGGAGTAAGGTGGAAGAAAAACTTGGCTCACAGGAATTTATTGGACCAAGTTTTGTTTGCTAATTTAAATGTATGTTCCCAGTACAGGGTGTAGCAGGATGATATGGAAGGGAGAAGAAATGGGAATGGGAAGAGTTTCTGTGGGGCTGGATTAAAAGCATGCTTCAGTGCAGGGGCACTACTCTTAAATTGTGGCCTCGTAATTTGTACTTCTCAGCATTGGCATAGAATAGGGGTAGCCAACTGGCAACACAAATGCCACAGTAGCCTCTTTATTTGACAAGATTAGGGAGGGAACAGGCATCCCAGCAGGAGCTTGGGCAGGGAGCAGAGTAGGGAACAAAAGACAGCAGCAGATCATACAGTGGAAGGGGATCTGAGTGACATTTGGGGAGGGTACCAGGCCCCTACTGGCCTAAAATATGTTTAATTAGTTCTAGTAAAAACTTGCAAGCAAGCTAGACGGTGAAGTCTGAGCAACTGAGTTGCTCAGGTAAGTAAACTTGTTGAAAAGTGGCTCTGTTAAATCTTGGATTTTATAACCCAGGAAAGTTGGGGTTAACCAAAGATTGGCCTCTCTTGCCTGCAGTTATGGAGCCTGCACATTGTGAACAGTAGAAACTGTCCAAAGAGTTGGGTAAAACCAGCCAAACTGACTATAAGCAATTTGTTTGTCTCCAGTGACTGTCTTCACGTGGTTGACCCTATGCCAGTCCTAGGACCTGATGTGGAAGCATATTGCCTACGTTGTGAATGCAAATATGAAGAGAGAAGCACATACACTATTAAGGTAACAATATAATTTCCCTGCTACATATTCAAGCCTTTCATCCACCCATAAAACAGAGCTGACAAAATAAAAGCAAAACTTCCCAAGTACTGTAAAGCTTGAAAATATCTCCCTTTCTAAACATCTTGTTCATAATAATTGAACATAAAGTGAGCAGTAGTGACACCACATGGCAACTAAAACTTGGTTTTAGAGGGGATACACTTAACTTTTTAGTTTCAAAATTTCATCTAATATTTGCTAGAAGCTTTTGGATTTTGAAGCATTCTGATGTCTTAACTGTGTGACTATTTAGAATTTGCCTTGCTACATTTTTTATGGTTTTCAATCTCCATTGATGTTTTTGTGCAAGTCTTAGATAAGTAGGGAATGAAGACAAATTGGTGAGGCTATAATAGGAACCTCTGATTTTTGTCAGCCAGTCCACTGCACAACCTGGATATTGTTATTCTTTGCGGTAGGATTCTTTCCACCAGCTACCAGTCTTGCTTGCGGCAAAGAGTTGAAATCTTAGCAAAGATCATTAAGAAGAGGAAATTCTGCCCTAAACCAAACTTTCTTTTGTTTGTCATTAGTTAGTAATTAATTAGTAATTAATTTGCGTGTTTGTGGCCAAAGTTAATAAGCTTAAAGCAGTTCTGTTTCTTTGCTTTTGTTGTCTGTTGCGTTGAAAGCATTATGTGGAGCATATTTCCAACACTACCATAAACTCTACTTACATTTTACAACATGCAGGTTACAATCATACTCTATTTATCCATCTTGGGGCTGCTTCTGCTATATATGGTGTACCTTACCTTGGTAGAACCTATCCTAAAGAGACGTCTCTTTGGACATTCACAGCTTATACAAAGTGATGAAGACATCGGGGTAAGTTTATCTTGTTTGAATGCTGTTGAATATTTTGTGGCAGGCTGTATGTGAGAAAATATGGAATGTAATTGCTGTGGCTTCCAGACCTGAAGCAATTAACGCCGTCACTGCTTGCTCGCTCACTCCCTCCCCCCCCCCCCCCCCGGTCTTCCATCCCAACACACACGCACAATTTCTGGAGTCATAAGGATCCCTTTACTTCGCATATAATGGACCCTCCCCAATTTCTCCCAGCTGGTTTTGGGGAGAAAGGTGTAGGTTATGTGCAAGGAAGTACTGAGTGATGAGAGAGCTTTTTCCTTGGGGGGGGGAAACCACCTTTTTGCAAGGAGGCATGACAATCTCCAGATTTGCAGGAGGGTGTAATGGCCTCTGCAGAGCCTTTTGTTTCTGGGCGTTAAGATCAGGAGCTGGAGTTTCCTCACTGTTACCTCAGTCCAAATTTTGGGGAAGAAAGGGATGAAAAAGTAGGAATTAAAATGTGTCCTTCTAAACGTTGATGCCTTCAGTCCTGGTGGTGGTTGCTGCACACTAGGTGGTCTTGCGCAGTGGAAAAGGAAAAGTCTTAAGAGTACAGACATGAATGAAATGGTCTTCCCTGGATATACCAACAGATGTTAGTGGAGATACTAAAAGATGAAATGCCTGACAATGAAGTACTGTCATGAGGTAACCTAGGAGATTACATAAGAAATAATTTTCCTTAGCATTATAAGTAGCTACATGCATGGTGAGAATAGATTCCCGTAGATCAGGATAAATTTTTCTCAAGAGTTCTGTCTGAATAAAGGAAATAGACTGTAGATAACCAGTGGAAGCAGTAGTTTCCCCAGTGTTTGTCCCAGTATTTTAATGCTTAATATAGATAAGAATACATAGATGAGACAAGTTAGATGACATTGCAAGCAAAGTCAGCTTTGTAAATGTGATGGTCCATATGCGATGAAGAGATGTCTGAGCAGAGAACATGGATGTGCTAATCTGGGGTAACCTTGATGGAAGGAGAGGAGAAAATCAGTATTGTGCCCTTTTTGATCAAACAATTTAAGTTTCTCAGTCTGTGCTGATAAGAAATTTAAAGTACATGAAATATCTAAAAGCATAGAGTCTAGAAAATAAATTCATATTCTTGCTATATTCAGCCAAACCACATTGGTAGTAGATATTAAAATATATTTTAAGTGCAGTGTATCTTTAGTAAGTTAGAACCGCTCCCCCCCGCCCCACCAAACAAAAAACTCAGTCCTATAAGGAGGTATATTTTGGTTTTGCTTTATTCAAATCTGCCAGCAGCCTAGACAACTCTAGTTTCTAGTTTTAATGTGGTTTTAAATGACCATTTAATCTGTACCCTCATTTAAAAGTGCTCGTTATAGCCTATATGTGGTCCTTAAGAATATTGTCATTAGTGCTTTCAGAGTAAGTAGTTGACTAATGATACAGCAAAGCTAAACAGTTTCACA